AGAAAAAGACGCTAGCAGAGTACGCTCAGCTGGATGCAGAGGATGAGAGCCTGGCTCGCTGGAAAGCTAGTCTAGGCATCGTACCCGGTGCTTCCGGTGGAGCTGCTACTGGACCAAAGGTGCGTGTCATGCGTGAGAGAAGCGGTACAGCAGGATAGCGGAGGTGCAGGTGGATGGCGTCAAGCAGCTACATTTGGCCTGCATGGGACCGGCTACTTGCGGAGCAGCGCTGAGGAAAAGATGCTGGCACCAGCGCTGCCACGATGCTGACCCATCCCCATCCCGGCTCTTGACCCAACGCAGCTCAAGTTGCACTCCCTTTCGCTCGTCTCTGCTACTGCGCCAAACGGAGCTGTCACCTTGGACTTGGAGAGTGGTAATGCAGAGGCTATCAAGAAGGACACCTTGACAATCAAAGAAGGCGTCGAGTATCACGTCAGCTTCAAGTTCACGTGAGTAGCATGGAGTCGCGCAAGTCGTCACGACTCCATGAGCTGGGCCGCTCACGATGGCAGTGCTTCTCTTCTGTTCCCTGCAGCGTCGGTCAAGAAGTGCTGTCCGGCTTGCGTTTCATCCAAGTTGTCAAGCGTGGAGGCATTCCAGGTGCGTTTGATCACTTCGACGAGCCTCGTCATGCGCCCATATGCTGATTGGCTAGCTATCCCTCTACAGTCGACAAGACGGAAGCGATGATCGGATCCTTTTCACCACGTGGCGAGCCTTACATCAAGCATCTAGAGACGGAAGAAGCTCCTTCGGGCATGCTTGCACGAGCCACCTACAGCGTGCGCAGCAGACTGATCGACGATGATAACCAGACGCTTTGGGATCAGAGCTGGAGCTTCAAGATTGCCAAGGATTGGGCCGCATAGTTGCGCTCGACCCTCCATTTCAGCATCGCATATCGAAGCCTGGCCGTTTCAAGACACATCCGACCGCCCTTTGCATCTAATCGCCCTCATCCTCATCCCCCTTCCGCGCCCCTTCACTACCGCACATGACCCGCTGAGCGTGCTGCGCACGACTTTGTGCAGTATGCGACAGACTTAAACATGGCTCCTTGTTCATGTTCAAGGCTATTGGACTTGAATGGTTCAAGAAATGGGCAATGTCGTACATTTCTAGCTCGTCCGACTGCAGCGAGACGGACAAGGCCGAATGTTTGCG